TATGCCCGATGTCACATTCTATCAGAGCATGCTCAACTGAAGCCTTAAGCCTCATCGCCAACATCCTCATGATGATGATCACCTGCAACATAATTTAAACATATACAAGAACAACAAGGGAGTGAGAAACATCTCACTCAGTTTCAGGTGTAGAAATAAAGGTTAGATAGCACACACAACAATCATAAGTCATAAACACTAATCACATATAAACAATACCCATACATGATCAGTATCACATGTACACTCATTTATCATGCTATGATGTCATAGACTTGACTCATAAATGCATGCATGTGGCGCCATACGAAAGTTTCACATTTCATCACTGGTGGCCCTAAGGTACACCTGGTTACATCACTGGTGACCCTAAGGTACACCTTGTTAGCTTGTTACATCACTGGTGATCCTATGGTACACCTTGTTAGCTAGTTACATCACTGGTATGCGGCCTCAGCGGCACACCTGGAGTTATATATGTATATGATGCATGTCATACATTCATTATTTCATTGACTCAACATTTGACTTATTACAGAATTTCATTTAGTACATCATGTCATCATTTTTCATATTCTCAGAATCATAAGTTTGCTCAATATTCCATTCTTATGTCTCATTTCATTTTTGCATATTTCACATAGTCATGTCATAATTATTCCTCATAAGGTCCGCACAGGAATTCACGGAGAACATTCTTATTCATATTAAAACTTATTTATTTTTAACATTAATTACATATTCATTTATTACTTCTAACAAGGAACAAAGTGGAGCAAACAGAAAATAAAACAGAACACATTAATACTTTGCATGTTCCTAGAAGCATGCAACAGGCAAGGGATTGGGGGCCAATCCGATAATCAGACTATCCAACAATTATTCCCACACCCCCGAGCGAGGTTTTCTCACTCCCTCCTTACCTAGATAAGCAGGAGCTGAAACTAGAGTAGAACCTTACTAATCTCCTTCTCTGGATTCCCTCTTTCTTTCTCTTTCTTTCTTTCTCTCTCTCTCTCTTTTTCTCTCTCTAAGATTTTACCTTCTCAGTTATAATTTTTTTTGACCCCATGCCTCCTATTTATAGGCATTCAGGAGTACCCAGAACGGCCCGTTCTGGAGCCATTCGTTATATGAAAAAATTTACAACTGGAACGGCCCGTTCTAAAATCAGAACAACCCGTTTTCAAAAATCAGAACGGCCCGTTCTCAAAATTAGAATGGCCCGTTCTGAGGTTCATTTAACACACATTGACCATAACTGGAACGACCCCGTTTCCAACTAAACTTTTTAGGCATTTTTAGAATCTTGGAACGACCCGTTTTACTTTGGGAACGACCCGTTCAAGAATAACCAAAATTGGCTTCTTTACTAATTTGGAATGGCCCGTTCCACTTTTGGAACGACCCGTTCTGCTACTTCAAAAATAGTTGACTTTCATCATTTGGAACGGCCCGTTTCACATTTTGGAACAACCCGTTCTAGCCTAAAATAAATAGAATTTTATATAAAAAATTTTCATAAATAATTTAAATTATTATAAACCTTTACATATTATAAAACCCCTTTAATTAACTAAAATAACTATATAAAAAATGAATCTTTATAAATATAAAAATAAATAATAATTAATATTGTATTAGTAGAAAATTCGGGGTGTTACATTTTGAAAAATTAGTTCTTAACTAGTATTCTATTTAGAGATACCTTGGTTTTAGAGGGAAAAAAAAACTTAGTGTGCTTAGATAAGGGAATTTAAGAGGGTAGTTCATTTTTGTTTTGAGAAATTTTAAATGCTTCTAGATGAAATATCTTGTTTAGATGAAAAGTTCTTAAAGAATTTGAAATTAAAGTATTTGATAAATCCTTCAAAATAATAGAATTTTAAATTCGCAAAAAAGAATTGAATTTGAAATTCTTCAACTATTTCTTTCTTATTTCACTTATTATATATATTTTATCTTTTTATCATTCTTCTCTCTCCTATTTCTTATCTTTATTTTATCTCTTTCTCTTCCATTTATCCCTTCTCCTCTCTCCTTCTTCGTTGTTATAAAAAATATTAATAGTTCTTTTTCTAGTTATTGAATATTTAAATTTTTAAAAATTATTAAATATTATCTATTTTTTTTAAAAAAAATATTAAATAATTAAAAATTGGCTACCATTCATTTTATAAAGTTTAATTTTTTATTTATTCAAAATCAATTCTTCTTATAATATAAATTAAATTGTCTTATCCAAAATAAAATTTTAAAATTTAAGAAATTTAAGTTGATTTATCTAAAAAAATACATTTAATGAATGATAAATTGAAATCAAACTAATTGAAATTCTTAATATTTTTGGAATACCCCATAAAAACATACTTGTGAAGTAAAATGATTAAATCAATTGAAAGAGATAAATATATTTTAGATTTTGCTTCTATAAAGTAAAAAAGAATATATTTAAAGAATAAATAATAGGTATTAATTAAATACCAATAATTAAGACTTTAATTAAATTTCAATTTAATTTATTATATATAATTTATTAAAAATTTCAATCGTTGATTTAAACAACTACTATGAATAATGAATGTACTTTATTTTGTAAAGTGCACTTTTTATTAACAAATTTTTAGTTTGAGACTTGATCTCCTTAAATAAGAATTTAAGTTCAAATCTTATGAATGATTAAAATTGAAGATCCATTAAAAATAGTCACTCATTTTTTTTTATCGAGATTAATTATCAAAACCAAAAAAAAAATATTATATAAAAAATTATTATTAAAAAGAAAAGGTGCACATTCCAATAGGGTCAAACAAACTTATAAAACTTCCTTTAAAGTAAAGAATACACTTTAGAAAATAAAATATAATAAAATATAATAATAATTATTGATTAAAAAATCAATGATAAAAAATTGTGCTAAAATTAAATATATATATATATATATATATATAATAAAATATAAAAATAATTATAATATATAAAGTGAGTTGGTGACTTAAGAAATATTTTTGTATACAATTTTATATAATTCGTTAAGCATTTTTTCTTTATTTTCTTTCTGTTGCTAATATATTCTGTGTATGGGGTGATAATAACTATAGTAGACTGAGAGAATAAAATATTGAACATTAAATTATATGAAAAAAAAAGGTTAAAATGCCAATGCAGAACACATAATTTAAAAAAAAAAAACAATTTTTTCAGTGCAGACAATATGAATCTTTTCTAGGAAATAATTATTTTCAAGTAGAGTAATTGGAATATTATGAGACCTAAACTATTGTTTAAAGTATTAATTTAATAAAGTTTCGTATCCATGTTGGAACTCAAGTTTATTGGTTAATATACTAATTCGTGTGAATGGGTTTACATACTATTAATTTTCATCTTACTGCAAATATACAAATAACAGTCTAAAAGTTATTTACTTTACTGATCCTAATAAACTACTAAGTAATATATTGAAAAATCCATTGAAAAATTGTATATTGTGAAACATATCGTTGATATGAGTCATGATGATGTGCTTCCACTTGGATGCACATGGATGAGACAATC